AGAAGAGTATGGAGGGATGGACACTGGGAAGAGGTAACATATGGGGAGGAAGTGGGAGGGGAGCTGTTGCATTGTAAATTTTGGTTAATGACATGAGACAAAGTATATTATGTGAACTGCTGTATGAAAAGTGAATTTACTCTGTAAATCTTCACTCAAATCAAAATAAAATTAAAAAAAAAAAAATAAGAAAGTTATGGTCCAACATCATTAATAATCCTTCCCTGGCAACATTTGCTAAGGATATTTGATATATGGTCGTCCTGCTAAGAACCCTGATTACACAGTCCCAGTACAGATGTGTCTCTCCTTTATATAGCATATGCTGCTAAAAAGTGGTTTGTAAATACAGTCTAGGTAAACTGAAGTAAACAAACTAAAGAAAGTAAACAAACCAAAGAAGGTCCCTATTAAATGTTTAGCTACACAGTTAAAAGCAATCAATGACAAGACAATGAGGGGATATATCCAAATTTGGCCCTTTTGCAAAGTAAATCATCACTATATTTATATTTATATTTATATTCAGAAGGAAGATGGGGCAATCTACTTCCGTAGTGATACTGCCTCAGAAACCCAAAGAGGGGTCGCTGTGAGTCGGGTGCGACTCAACGGCACATAACAACAACATAACAACAACAACATAATGGCTCATAGCAATTCTATAGGACAGAGTAGAACTGCCCCATGGGGTTTCCAGTTTACAGAAGCAAACTGCCACATCTTTCTTCCTCAGAGCTGGTAGATTCAAAGAGCCAGGCTTTTGGTTCGCAGCACTTTAACAGCTGCTCCAGGAGGGTTCCTTTCATTAACAGCAGCAGCTACCATTAATTGAGCATCTATTATGCAACAGGAGTCACTGGATGGTGCAAATGGTTAAGCACTCAACTACTAACTGAAACGTTGGCAAAAACCTCATGGAGCACAGTTCTACTCTGACACGCATGGAGTCATCAGGATTTGGTCACTGGCAACTGGTTTGGTTTTAGCTTTACTATGTGGATAGGGCTGTTCCTATATATCTTATCATCAATATAATTTGTTTAAGATAAATATTACCCATGAAGAAACCAACTCAGGAGTGGCATGCAGAGTTAGTTGGCAACCCAGCTCAGATTCCTGTGTGCAACAAACTCTTCAATCAGCTGCCTATGAAGACTGATTTCATACTATAGAATAGTCCAATGTTTCCCAAAGTATGATATGATCACAGAAAAAAAAAGGGGGTTCCATAGTCACATTAACTCTGGGAAGCACCACACTGTATTCCTCAATTAGGGATTTATATGACATTAGCATATTAAAGGCTCTGAGAAATTTGCCTGTTTAATTCTGTTAAGCCAAGTGTTTCCCAAAACATTTGATTATATTCAAATGCTGTTGAGTAGATTCTGACTCATGTCGACAATACAGGACATAGTACAACTGCTGCATGTGGTTTCCAAGGCTGAAATATTTATGGAAGCAGACTGCCACATCTTTCTGCCACGGAGTGGCTGGTGCGTTTGAGCCATCGACCTTTCAGTTAGCAGCTGAGCACTTAACTGCTATGCCACCAGGGTTCCTTCAATAATCACTCAAAATTAAACTTACTACCATCCAGAGGGCTGGCGGTTCAAACCCACCAGCCACTCCTCGGAAGGAAGGTTGGGCAATCCTACTTCTGTAGTGATACTGCCTC